TAGCCTCTCCAAAATTTGTTGGATCATCTTCAACGCAAATTTTGTACCCATACTTTTTAGGCGGTATACCCTTGTTTGATCTTGAAGAAGTTCGAGGAGTATCATCAGGATTAATTGTTACGTCATTATTTAAAATTTCCTCGTCAGAAGACGATGAAAATTCCCCAGCTGATTCAAAGCCACAAAATTCTTCTGTGCTTATCGAATTATTATCTTCTTCTTCATGAGCAAGAGGCGAAACATTAGTAGAATTGATTGTAGAGACAGATATTACCATATTTTCGTCAGAATTGTTATCTTTCTTCGGAACATCAAGAAAATCGTTTGATTCCAAAAACTTCACGTTACGGCTTATTATGATGTTATTGGTATCAGTATTTAGCAAACGAAATGCTTTGCTCTCCTCAGAATATCCAACCAGAATACATTTGACAGCCACATCGTCCAACTTTTTGCGTTTTTGTTTTTCAACATGGACGTAAGCAGCGGAACCAAAAATACGAATATGGCTCAAATTTGGAGGCCTGCCAAACCATAACTCAAAAGGCGTTTTATTTACAGAAACTGATGAAAGTCGATTTTGAATATAGTTCGCATTGTTGACAGCCTCAGCCCAGAATTTGATATGAATATTCGCGTCGTATAGCATGCACCTGGCCATCTCCATTAAGCTCCGGTTCTTCCTCTCTGCAACTCCATTCTGCTCAGGAGTATAGGGGGCAGTGAGCTGGTGAATTATACCCTTATTTTTGAAAAACTTCTGCATCTTTTTATTTAAAAACTCTCCACCACGATCAGTTCTAAGAATTTTTAGACGTTTTCCTAATTGGTTCTCATTTTGTTCAATAAATTCTTTAATTTTGTCGTAGGCCAAATCCTTAGATGCAATGAAAAATATTGTACAATAACGGCTGTGATCATCAATCAGAGTTAAAAAATAACGATTTCCACCAGGGGTTGTATTTTGCATGGGGCCGCATAAGTCGCAATGTACCAAATCTAAAATTTCATCCGATCTAGATTCCGATGCCTTTGGAAAGGGTGCTCGTGTAAGCTTTGCTCTCAAGCAAACCTCACAATCAAACAAACAAGCACATTTCTTTATGCTCACACCTCGAATAAGCTCTTTAGTAACGGTTGAGCTAATTGCTTGATGACTTCTGTGGCCAAAACGGCGATGCCAAATATGAATACAGTCACTCTTACATTTCGATATCATATTTGCTTTGTAAGACTGATTCAGCACAAACAAATTGTTCCTTAAAGTAGCTTTCGCAAGAACATGTCCGCCCAGAGAAATTGAACAACCATTTCTGTCAAAAAACACCTTAAAACCTTCAGCAGTTAGTTTCCGAACTGACAGTAAACTCCCGTCCAGCTCTGGTATGAATAGTACATTTTGAATACGAATTTCCTTGCCTTCACAAAATATCTTGCAGTCACCACAACCAGTCACCTTCAACATTGTACCATCTGCCAAATACACCATTTCATCCACTTGCTTATTAATTTTGTCAAAATATGTCTCCTCACTACACATATGACAAGTTGCAGCAGAATCAATAAACCAATCGCCATTTGCTTTTACATTTGTGATACCAAAACAAACATTTTTATTGCCATCTTTAACAATATTGGCCCGATTGTCGTTTGGCTTTTGTTGTTTTCGCAGATTTTTGTTTGTACAATCCTTTTTCATATGGCCCGGCTTTCCACATGAAAAACATTTTGGCACAAACTTTTTCTTCTGCACTTTAAAAGCAGCCTCAGTTTGATGTTCACCTGACATCTTTCTCCTGAACTCCTGTAGCAACTTTTCCTTCACCAAATCGAGCGTCAGATCTTCCTCCGAACGCATTTCTAATGATGAAATTAGGTGGTTGTAATCATCCGGCAAAGTGCCCAGCAAAAATGCAACAGCTTTGTGTTCTTCCATCTTCTCACCCAAATCACGCAAACGATCCACAATTGATAAAAATTCATGAATGTGGTCTTCCATACTTTGACCACTAACCAGCCTCTTCGACGACATTTGGCGAAGCAGACTAACTTTGTTGGTTATGTTTGACTTCTCGTGATGCTTCTTCAAGGCGTCCCAGAAAGCTTTCGCCGTCTTCAGTTGCTTTATGAGTATTTTCTGTGATTCCTCCACAGCCAACCCAATAGCAGCCCTTGCCTTCCCATCACGAATCAACCACTTTTCATCCGGCTCCTCAGGCAGATTACCAACAACAACATCCCACAATTCCCTCTCCAGCAGCAGCAACTCCATGTTAAATTTCCAGACATGGTAATTAGTATTTGACAATTTGGGAAATAATGTGTACGATGCAGCCATGATTTTATCAATTTACTTCCAATAAAAAAAAAAATTTTAATTACGCGAATGTAGGCCCATAACCTGTTGTTGAGATCAGTTTATTAGAAGTAATGAGGAAAAGAAATGTGTATGTACATATAATGGCGTATGACACAAATTTCAAAGTTGTAGACATTTGCATAAACATTAAGTGTCCTCACAGTTAATTACAATGTTGATTTGAGTGTTTATATAAATTAACTATTAACAGAGCATGCGTGGAAGATGACGAAACATTGGAACATTTTCTATGCCAATGACTAGCGTTTGCAAATATCAGGTCCCAATTCTTAGTGAACGACTCTATACCAGACCTTAATCAGATAGTGGTAAATGATATAAAACAGTTAAGGAATTTCATGAAGGCAACTGAATTTCAAATATAACAGACTGTTAACTGCCCATTTTTTGTTCAAGAACCTTTAATCTAGAGCGAACAACAGGCCTATACTGGCTTAAGTGTATGTCCAACAGGGCATGCGGCGAAGTATTTCGCCCCTCTTTTCAACCTAATCTAACCTAACCTATTATTTAGATGCGGCGTTGGAACATACACCTGGAACTATGACAAATCTTCCGACAATATAAGACTTTATTTTAATAACTTTCAGAATATAGAAAAAATTAGTCAATTTATTCCGATTTTCGGATAAAACTTTCGAAAACATTCATTTTTTCCAGAATTTCGGATCAAACATCCGAAAATTTTACGAATTTTTGAATCAGACATTCTATATTTCTCCGATTTCGGAATAACACTATAGAACAAATTTATTTTTTTCTGATCAAACATCCAAACATTTTGCGAATTTCGTACTAAACATACAAAAATATTCCTAATTTTCCTTTTGCAAATTTAAATCGAATTCGTTACGAAACTCTAATGTTCTTTCCGATATTTTTCCGAAAAAAAAAACTCTCAGAATCTTGGGCAATCTCACACAATTTTGTTCAAAGTTCGACATCAGAATCGGAAACTTGTGCAGAGTTATTTTCCGAATTCGGACAAAAAACGGAAAAACTGTTAGCTGGGTATGTGCTAAATGCGGCTGCATGTGTAGAACACATACTTCAACCACGTATCTTCTTACTACAAAAAAAAAACATTTTTCATTCATTTGTACATAATATAACATAATATCCTTCGATAACCCAAAAGTCCAATAAATGTAGCGAGTAAAAGGATCAATTTCGAGACAAAGAATTTTCAGTCAACAATTAAGTTATTAAGTGTTTTCAAAATCTTACTGGAAAATTTACTTAGTACCATTACCCAGTTACATCAGCTGATGAAAATATAGCTATATTGTGGCTGTTGCAAATGTGTTTACAAATTTTAAACAATAATTTACTTTAAAGTTCTTAAAAAAGCAATTTTCAGATAAAAAGTATTGTAACACCATTTAATAATAAATGTTTCAATATAAAATGCAATTGTATTGTTGACTCCATTTCTCAAAAATTTTAAAGTGTAATTATAAATGTTTGAAACAGTGATTTACTTGCTACACTTTACCAGGGACGTACGCAGGGGGGGGCCTGGGGCCCGGGCCCCCTCCGAAATCGTTTGGTCAAAATACATTTATTTTTGTTCATTAAATAGTTTCGATTTCTATGCCTTTTGATTGTATAAATCAATAAATATCGAAAAAATGAATTTACACGTACAAAATACAAGTTACATTAAGTAAATATTAATGAACTAAGGTACATACATGCATATGTCAAATGTGTTGAAATTATGTTCGTATGTATGTATCAAGAAAGTTAAAACAGAGATTTTTGATTTTCTCGTGAGGTGAATATAAAAATACATTGATATTAACATTGCAATAGCGTTGGCATCTCTGTTTATTGTGGTGAAATTTTTGTCAAATGAAAAACAAAGAGATCACGGAAAAAACAGTGAAAGGTTTGGTTTTGAAAGCAAGTATAACGCGAGTGTCTTTCAGTTTTCTAATTACAGAGAGCTCACGCAAACAACAACTGCCCTAAAATTGAGTTGGACAATTAAAAAGTCAGAGAGATCTCGCTTTCTCTCTCTCACTCTAGTATTTTGCTTATTGCTGGGCAATCCCGCTCTGCAACGTTGTCGGTTAGTAACAGGTTACAATAATGTTCCTATTCCTATAGGAAAATTATTAAAATATGTTAAAAATGTGTCGATGTGTCGAAAACTCCCTATATGCATACATACAGTTAGTGAACTTATTATTTGCAAACTAATAAAAGCTTTTATAACTTGTGCAAATAACAAAAATTTACATTAATAAAAGAAAGGCATTATTTGTTCACATAACTTAATAAAAAATTGTAAAAAATGCTAAAATTTACAACACTTCAATTATCTTCCTTGCAAATTATTAAAGGCTGGAAAACACACATTTATGTTAATTTTAGCTCAAAATTGAGGAAAATATTAAAAAGATAAGCTTATGTACAAGTAATAAAAAATCCTAAAACAGTAACAATTTCCTACATAAAGATACTTTTACACTGTAAATGTGACAAATCATTTATATTAAAGGTTTACACTTTTCTCATTATTTATGATGTGTTGTTTACAGAATGTTGAGCAGTCATCAGTCCAGACTGCAACAAATGAAGAAATATCTTCAGAGGGTACTTCTGTTTCTTCTCAAACGGGTATTTCTGCCGAAAATCAATGTTTAATTAGTTCTGAAAGAGATATTCATATATTTGACATTGGCCAGTATATTGAAAAACCCATTGACGACACATTAAAACAAAATATTTATCTGAACACATGGACTCCACACTCAACCTTCAATTTTGAAGTACAAACAAAAAATGAAAAAAAAGAAACTTTCAAACTAAATGGTTCGAGAGATTTTCTTGGTTAGCAAGCATATTCAAATTTTGCAAAAGGCGCATTCTGTAAAGTTTGTGTTCTTTTTTTAAAAAAGACGGTTGTGAAAAAGGTAGCCATCAATTTCCCAAATTACTTTTATCTCTACCATTCAAAAATTGGAAAGATGCAATTGAATGTTTCACCACCCACGAGAGCGCCGAATACCACAAAGAGGTCACGATAAAACTCAGACCTTTATATCGACAATGAAGGATCCATCAAAAAGTATCAACTTTATTATGGATAAAAAGACTTCTGAAGTTCTGGCAGAACAAAAATACAAAGTTCGTGTAGTGATTGAAACTATATTGTTATGTGGCAGAGAAGACATCGCCTTAAGAGGAAGTAGAGATTCCGGAACCCTTTCATTAGACAAAAAAAAATCAAAGCTAAGGAAATTTGAGGGCATTGTTGCGGTATAGAGCATCTGGGGATGATATCCTAAAAAAAAGTTTGGAGAATACCCCTAGGAACGCAACATACATAAGTCCCAGGATTCAAAACGAGATAATATTTATTATTGGGTCGTATATTCAGAAATCTATTGTTGATGAAATAAAACGGGCTGTATTCTTTTCAGTTCTTGCTGATGAGTCTACCGATATTTCCGGCAAAGAACAACTCTCACTTTGCATACGATTTTATAATAAGGAGTCGAATAAACTAAAGGAATGTTTCCTCTGTTATGTGGAAGTAGAGGGATTGACGGGGAATGAAATATCTACAGTTATAATAAACAAAATTGTAAGCTTGGGATTGGATCCTGAATTCTTAAGAGGCCAAGAATATGATGGTGCATCAAATATGGCAGGAAATTATAATGGAGTTCAAGCCATAATAAAAACGAAATATCCATCGGCAATTTATATTCACTGCTCCTCCCACATACTTAACTTAAGTTTAAATGCAGCCTCAAAGCTTCCAGATATTCGAAACATTTTTTCAATTATTTCTGAAATTTGTACCTTTTTTCGAAGATCTCCTAAAAGATCAGGTGTATTATCCAAAATGTTTACAGAAGGAAATAAGCCTTCAAAACGGCTACCAAACTTTTGCGAAACACGATGGGTGGAACGCCATGACTCTGTTCAGATTTTTAATGAGTCTCTAGAAGAAATTATACAATCGTTGGAAGAACTAGGGGAAAAAGGTAAGATGAAATTTTAATCTACATTTAATAACAATAGTAGAATTTAGACCACACCCTTTTATTTCATATGTCAGTATTTTTACACGTATCCTTCTCTTCTTTATATGCAATGTTTTAAAACTTATATTAAATACATATGTATATGTTCTTATGATTTTAGGCTGCTCTGATGCACTTAGTTTTCATCACAGAATTGTGAAATTTGATTTTTTATTGGGTGTGGCTGTAACATCTCGTCTACTCGAGCTCACCCTGCACTTATCCCAATACCTTCAGACTGTTAACCTGGACATAGTTCAAGCATATGATCATATTCATTTAGTTGTGGGAAAGTTAAAAACTATACGAGAAAATGCTGACGAGGAGTTCCACAAAATATACCTTGAAACAAGAATTATAGCTGAAAAATTTGGAGTTGAAGTATCTGTTCCAAGAAGGGTGGGTACCCAAAAGTACAGATCAAATGTAGCATGTTCGGACTCAGAATCTTATTACAGGATAACATTATTTGCACCTTATTTGGACGAACTCATTGCAAACATGACAAGCAGATTCCTTGAAAATGAAAGTGTCGTTAAAACTTTGTCAAATATTGTACCCTCTAGAGTTGTAAGCTGTTCGTATAACGATTTTCAAGATATGATGAATTTTTATGAAAAAGACTTGAGAAACTGTAAGCGAGAAGTTCTATCAGAGTTGGAATTATGGATCACGATGTGGAAGAGAAAAACGTCCCGAACATCCAATCCTCTTGAAGCAATTGTAGACTGTGATGAAAATCTGCAGAAAGGAGTTTTTCAACATTACGTAGAATAAAAACGTATCTCCGAAACCAAATGCATAGTCAACGATGTTCGTCATTAGCCCTAATGTCGGTATATAAATGTGATGTAAATATAGACGATATTCTAAATATCTTTTTTTCTAAAAATAGGAAGCTAAATATGTTAAACTAAAACATTTTATAAGTAACACTGTATTTAATGATCTCAATGTGTATACTAAGTATACATATAGCTTATATACTGAATATAACTTTTTTTCATTTATTTTTATAAAAATTGAATTAACAGAATTAATAAAATATTAAAATTATAATAAGACTAATTCAAATTTACCTACATATCTTTTAATGGGAAATTGAAGCTAATAATATATTAAGAGTTGCTGAGCATCCCTACATTTCAGGAGTAGGTCAAGTTGACTTTCTTCCATATCGCACAGAGGCTCAACCGCCTTCCCCCCCCCCAAAAAAAAAAAAACGAAATCCTGTGTACGTCCCTGCACTTTACTAAATGTTGTTCGATAACTTTTCCTTCCTTCAAATATTGTGGATGCCTAATAATGAAGTTTTCAGAAACTCCAATGCAAACGACATTAATACAATTTATAAATATTAAAATTAATACAATTTTATAGTATAAATTCATTATAAATTTATTGTAAATTTATAATTTCATGCCAATGACATGATGCTTAGTGGGAAAATGTTTTGAACTTACTTTTGAAAACAATCCCGAATAAGTTTAAAATTTTTTGTTATTTTATTTACGACAGCTCCTAGGCAGGATACACAACTTGATACAACAGCCTGATTTAGAGATACAACTAGTAACATTAAATGTTCTTCCAATGATGCCAAAAAAGTTTCGCTTGCGTTATTTACCAATGGCACAACCTGGAAATAATTTAGATTAAATTATTTTTTCAAAAATATATTTGATAATATCATAAATTCTACTTGCCTTTTCTAGTATGTCCGCAACAGCACATATAAATTTAGGAGCAGTGGATGGATGACACTTTATATTTAAATAAGGCTCTATAGTCATAGCATGCCTAACTAACAGTTGAGGGCGGACCTTGGCTAGCAAATGCAGTGTTGTTATACATCCTAGCATTCGTTCATTGTCGGTATCTTCTAGTTCTATAAGTCTATCTACAAGTCCGTCGGCTAATTGTTGACACGCCAAGATTATTTCAGGAGGAGGTTCGCTATTTTTTTTTACGACGTCTTGAGCATTACCATCCAATTTCAGAATATTTTCTTTAGGTTGAAATATCTGCGTAGAAAAGCATTTACATTTAAATGGGGTTATTTCTCAAGAAGGAATATAGCAGGGTTAATACGTACACTATTTAATAAGCCTTCTAACCAACTCGTCCCGGTGTCATGTGCTGTGTTGACCACATCAATTATCTGGTTAATTTTTCTAAGAATGCCGTGCTAAAATGAAACATAGAGTATGTATTAATTTACAACACAGTATATCAAGAAAGCATAATGTGTAAAGAACTTAAAAACATCAGAACTTGTTTTTATTTGCGGTTTGTTGCAATGAAATGCAACGCTAACGAATTTTTCTACATGTAATTGTAAATTTGTACAAGTAAATCAACGTTAAGTTCAGCCGGAACGAACCTTTAATATCCTCTTATCATAAGGCAAATAAAATCTTACAAGAGTAGCGACATTTAATAGTCAAACAAGTTCTATTTGAAAAACAATCCGTTGAAAAATGTAGCTAAAACATCAAAATCCCGAATATAATGAGCTACCGTTGTATGGGGGCTATAGAAAACCTATAACGACAATGTACTATCACAAGTGGTTTGAACCCAGGAAGTGTTGTTATATGGACGTTATACGAAAACGTGGATCTATGTAGACAACTTTCTGTCCACTTAGAAACCTGTTATTATGAACTCCATATACCGAGCTGGAGAGAATTCCGTCAGAAAATGTGGCTTAAAGGGTCTAAATACCGAATACCGGGAGGTACCGTTGTATAAAATCTACCTGATATCGTGGACCAATATTGTCCATCTTAGAACATGACCTCTCTGCAGAAAAATACACTAATATACACTACTAAAATCTCAAGTTCCTATCTCTAGTCATTTCACTCTAGCGTGATTACAAGAGTCCGAAGGATATGGTTAAATCAACTCAGAATTTTACGCTGATCTCATATATACTATGTACGAGGATATAAAAATATAATGTGACTAATTGCCATTTCTTCTGGTGTTCGAGGAGACGACGACACCGAAAGTGAATGGGAAGAATGGAACATATTATGAAAAAAATCTGGTAACGACGAAAACAGTTACAAGTCGACGACGACGATATACTGATAGGGAAAACTTCATAATGAAAGCAATGCATACTAGAACAATAACAATATGGTTAAGTAGAAAAATATTAATTTACATTGAAGATCAAAAATATTTTTGAATTACAAGAATTGTCGTCGTTTACGACAGGGGAATTAATAAAGGAGGCACACGCATTTCCTTCTATACGTAGATACAGATTGTTCCTGCAACATTAAGACCTTTATTATTATCTTCCTTATTCCAGTGTCCATTTGCGTTAATTTTTTAATCGAACGTTCCCAACGCCAATCATTTCTTACCCCTGCCGACCGAGGTGGCGACCATCCCCATACGTAGGGGTGACGTACACATCATGATCCGCCCCATGATGGGTTATCAGCGTTAGTGATTCCAGCTAAAGGAAATAACTTCATTAGCCGATTAAAATACAGTTATCTAAATAAAATCTATTGATCATTTAAAACAACAATTCTATAAGATTTAATTGTATCTATATACATACTTAAATCTATATAAGAATATAAATAATTGAAGTAAACATTCATTTTCCTGACAATGTCACACATCGCATAATTTGAGCGATGTAAGTCAGTATATAAAAATTGATAGTGTATACTAGTTCTAAAGGGGACATTTATTCTAATCGACGAAATAAAAAAGCAGATGGTACAGTACCGTTTAAAGTTTTTTAACATTATTATATTAAACATAATGCGCCTACTTTTTAATGAAGATAATCGAATTAATTTTAACCTGCTAGTATAAGAGGTTTTTTCTTAATATTTGTTTAATTTATTGAATCTTTCATATATGTATAAGAGGGTAAAACAAAATTATTGTTCCAATTTAAACCCCTTAAAGCAGGAATTGCTTCTGTACGGACTCAATTTTACTGGAATAGAGAGTATATTGAGGTTCCCACACAAAGGAACCATATTTTAATATTGGCCTAACTAGAGACGAATATAGTTGTTTAGTAACATATGGATCAGAAAATTCTTTGGCCCAACGTTTAATAAAACCTAAGACACCGGATGCTTTATTTACCATAGAAATAATATGGTTATTAAATATAATTTGGGGTCCATCAAAAGCCCCAGATCAGAGAAGAAATCTACTGTTGATAACCAATCCCACGGCGGCCGGTTCTATGTACCGGATTGACTCGGAGGTACAATTCTCCGACCAGGGGCCGCCAACCCAGCAATTTCATATTCGTGTTCGTTCATTTTTCTGATGTGTGAGCAACATTACCCGGAATGTTTACTCCGTATTCTCTTGGTCCGAGCCGAGATCGAGACCAACACCGGACCATGGTTCTGCTCCGTTTGACGTAATCGCTTCACCACAGATCGGTTTCGGTGAGATCCAACGGATGCATGGAGTAGGTACATTTCCGGAATTGTTCCGGCTTAAACCGAAGTACAGCGATAGGGACTACATTGCTTCCTGCTGCGTCAATGTAGACCCCATTGAGTCTTCATCTTCGGCGTGCTCATCGTCGTCGCAATATGAGACTCCCCCGCAATCTACTCAACAGCAATTTACGCAGCAGTTGACGCCACACATTGCTGTTCAAGTTCCGGATAATGCGTCATTTCTCCAGTTTAATTGTGATGGTCTCCGAGGTAAGATTAACGAAATCGTAAGCTTCGTGAGTCGGAAGAACATCAAGGTCGCAGCGATCCAGGAAACGAAGCTGAGTACCACCTACAGGCTTCAAAGTTGTGATGGATACAACGTACTGAGGAAGGATCGCTACAGAGGTGAAGGATTAGCGTTCCTATTGCACCACTCTGTCCAGTACAGACCTATCTCGCCTGAGATTGACTCTACCGACCCGTACATGGAATGTACGGGAGTAGTGGAACCGCCGAGGTAGATGTGCTTAACGTGTGCATTCTGCCGATTAAATAGCTGTGTCTCACGTTATATTTTCAATATCAGTTCACTTCTGGTATGCAATAACCGTCTGGTGCTAGGGGATTTTAATGTCCATCATGAATTATGGCATTCCGTCCTAGGTAATGACCAGGGAGGCATGGCGCTGGCTGAGCAAATTGATGGCTCCACGTTTTGCACAGTGAATGAGGACGCGCCCACCAGAATAAGGGGAGACTGCCACAGTTCACCGGAAATTTCCATCGTGTCTTCAGGTCTGACGAGTGACGTAACTTGGCAATCAGCCATTTCTCTAGGCTCAGACCATTAATGTCGCCATCAATAGACAACCCGACTTTATTGACTCTGAACGCCGCACTTTTCTTTACCACGGGAAAGCCAATTGGCAAGAATTCAGGGAATATACCAATGCCCGCTTTAGAGAACTGCCCAATGTGATATGATGTTGCACATGTCATCAGAAGCGCAAAGTCATCCAAAACGCTTCGTCCTGACGGAACCTTAATGGTGATGCTGAAGCAACTGGATGAGCCAGGAGTTGAGTATCCCACAAAGCTTCTCAATCTGTCGTTAACCACCCTGGTAGTTCCCGATGCCTGGAAAATGGGCGGGGTGGTTCCGCTACTGAAGCCAGGCAAGGATGACAGCAAAAGTGATTCATACAGACCGATATCACTTTTGTCACCAGTAGCAAAGACGCTTGAGGTTTTACTCCTCCCCAGCATAAGAGAGTGTTTTCCAGTAGCCGATCATCAACACGGATTTCGAAAATTGCACAGCACAATAACAGCTTTACACGCCATTTCCACACATGTCAGCAGAGGTCTCAACCAGAACAGACCGTATGATAGAACAATTATGGTGGCACTTGATTTATCAAAAGCCTTTGATACAGTCAATCATGCCACACTGTTCGAGGACATTGAGCGCACCACCCTCCGGCCAAGTTTGAAACGTTGGATAGTAAACTACATGTGTGGACGCCAGTCGTACGTGGAATTCAGAAACAAGAAGTCGAGCATCCGTAGAGTTAAACAGGGAGTTCCCCAAGGTGGGGTGATATCTCCGGAACTGTTTAACCTCTACCTTCCTGACATTTCACGCTCTCCAGACGGCATAGAGATTATAACGTACGCAGATGATTTTACGTTCGTGGCGTCCGGACCCATTATTGATGACATTTGCGATCGGTTAAACGCATACCTTGTTGATCTTACCGACTTTTTCACTGCGAGGAACATGAAAATATCCGCCACTAAGTCGACGGACACACTTTTCAACACGTGGACTGCGGAGATGGAGCTATTCTTGAATGTGCAGGTCGATGGTGCTATAATTCCGACCACCAACTACCCCAAAGTATTAGGTGTCACATTCGATAGCCTCTTTAAGTCGTCCGCGCATACCACAGCTATCAGCGACAAGATTAGAAGTAGGAATAAAGTCCTCAAGTCTCTGGCCGGCAGTACTTGGGGAGCTGATAAGGAAATCTTGTTGACCTCTTATAACGCGATAGGCCAGTCTGTGGTATACTATTCGGCTCCGGTGTGGTCCGCTAACGTCAGTACTACGCAGTGGAAAAATGTTCAGTCCTGCCAGAATGCCGACCTTAGAACCGCAACAGGGTGCCTTCTCATGACACCTGTCTCTTATCTCTTACATGAGGAGGCGAAGGTCTTACCGGTGCGACAGCATAACAAAATGCTGTCAATGCAATACCTGCTTGGATGTTAAAGACAAAGCCATTCGAATCACCATCTTGTGGATAGGCAACCTCCGCCCAGGCACGTTAGGAAAGACCTTCATGATCTAGAGAGAGAGGTACAGAGGTATAAGAGAGAGCCTCTATATCACTCTTATGCGGTCTCAGAAGCCATTGAAGGATATAATGTGAATACTGTGCTAGGAGACCATCCCCCTCCCGTCGCATCTGAAGAACGAGGGCTGTCCCGACAAATCCGAGTAGTTTTGGTTCAATTACGATCCGGATGGTGCAGCCGCCTAAATTCCTACTGTCCCGGATTAACAGCGACGTGCAGAACATCTGCCCAGTTTGTGGCACAGGCCCACATGACACGCTGCACCTGTTTCGCTGTCCAGCCAAGCCTACTCACTTAACTCCAGTCTCGTTATGTACACAACATATACAGGTTTTATCCTTTTTGAGAGGCAGAACCTGATTGAATCGAGTCAGAAAAATGGAAA